GTAGGACACTCTTCTATCCATGCACACATCTTCTTGAACAATAGAGCATCTATACACTTTGATTCTTACACTAGAATTTCATCAAGGGTTAAGCATCTCTGATAAAAGACAAACGAACATTTGGCAGACAGTGACATTGGCGGCTATTATTACAGAGTAATTGGTCCCCAGTGATGTAGACTCACTGTAAAATAAATGGTGCGTACCCCTCCCCATCCCGGTACCAAGCTTCTTGAAAGTGATACTGGCATCAAAAGCTTGTTCTAAATGGAAGAGTTTAACATTTATTCAGGGGGGGGGGGGAATTTCACTATAAGAACTATGTGAAAGCATTTCCCTTAGGTTAAAGTTATGTGACAATTAATGAGTTACAATTTCTGCTTCAAGCAGGGAGTCTTCGGGGATATATAAAAGGACAATAACAACGTTGCAAATATTAATAAACAGTAAAGGAAAAAGAGTGCTTCATGCTTGATGTCCAAGCGCGTGTAGTGAACAAACCATACATACTGTGGAATGCATATAAATGGAAGCAGCAGTTTCAATTTTCATACATGAATTTCCACCCCGAATTATCAGTGTCTGCCTTCAGATTTGGAGCTAAAAAGTGTCACACCTCTTTAGCAGAAAAAAAAGGCATGTAGCCATTCTAAACGAGAAAATGTCTTTTGGAATCCGCAAGATTAACTTGGAATTAGAAGCTGTCTCTAGAGATCCTTAATACATGAATTTGAGATAATGTATCAAACCACTATTTAGGGGTGGGGGAGAGGAAGAGAGCAGAAGAACAGAAGTGGGAGATGGAAGGAATGAAGGAAGGAAAGAATGAATGAACTTGCTCTTTATAGAATGCATTTTGCATATCTATGTGTAGAGATATTTTTAAGCAAAATAAATATCCATCTAGGACCTAAGTGATTAATAATTCGTCCAGTGCTGGTGTGGAAGGAAAAGGAAGAATCTTTTTTGGGACTGGATAAGCTAATCACTAACTTGGGCAGAAGGAGACAGGAAAAACTTTGCTAGGGCAGACCAACATTCAGTTTGGCTCAGTATTTCTTAGGCTATCTGATGTGGGGGACTTGCCACTTTTTTCTACTGTGTTTTGGACTGGCACCATATTTGTGCCCATTGATACAAATGTTTCTTTCTTTTCTAGAAATTTTCTGTAGACCAGTAGCCAATGGCTTATGAATCAGCACAGCTCTAGGGACTACCACTATGGGTAGTATTGGTCTTAGACCAGCATCAAGGCAGCAATTGTGTTCCTGTGGTTACTCTCAGCAGTTTATACTGAGAAGCACATGTTCCTGAACATAGGGTTGCAAGTCAGATGTCATAGCCAAGAAGGCACTGAAGGATCTGACCTTCATACTCTATGTAAAATTAGGATTCATCAGATCTTAGGGAAATCTGAAATCTGTGTTTTGTCAGGATAATATGATCACTTCCTATGCTATAATTTATCCTAACGTGCAAAGACATGCCCATCAAAAAACAGGCATGCAAGCAAACAAGCAAAAACCACCATGCTTTTTTATTAATCATTTGGGCATATGAATTCACATTTGAATCCTCACATGGGAAAGATTGAGTAGAGGATTTTTTGCACATACAATTATAACATTTGTTGTTCTGCATTAATTGCCATGGTTTAATTCTTTAAAATCCCAGGGTCTGTAGTTTGGTGAGGCACAGGAGACGTTTTCAGGCTGACAATTTCGAGTATCTCCCATAAACTATAACCTCAGGATTTTAGTGCTGTAACTGTGTTTTGTGATCACAAGCAAATGAAACAGGGCTTTCTTAATAGAACTACAGTAGGCCTTTCGTAACTGCTGGGGTTTGGAGACTAAAATCCATGGTTGCCAAAGAAGTCCCATCATGGTGTTGTAAATTTGTGTCCCTTATAGTAAAATTAAAGTTGACGTCTTGGATTTTAAAAATGTTTACTGCCTCATCCCACTAGAGCATGGATCCACTTTCAATCCAGTTGCTGCATCCTGCAGTATTCATGGGTTTGTAGTTTAGTGAGGCCCAGGACTTGCCTGGCTGAGCATTTTAAAGGCTACTCCCCTAAACCACAAGCCCCAGAATGCTGCATGAGGCAGTAACTGGTGGATCCATGCTCTAGTGTGATGAGGTCACATGTCATGCATGGTTGAGCAAAACCCATGGCAATGGAGGCCCAACTTTACATAGTCCATAAGCTTTTCATTAGTTAATATTTACTAGGAAAATATACTTGGTCTTAATTACAAATGATAATTACTATTAAAATCATGTGGGGCTCAGATAAGATGTGGTTGAGTAAGTTCACATGTGTTTTACAAAGCTATGCTAAATGAAAATGAAAATGACTAGGCAATACAAAGTGTACAGCAGAGGCTTGAGCTTCCCTCAATTGCCAAGAGCAGAGAAGATTGTAATTTTCCAGGTATACAGAATCAGATAAATTGTTCATTAGGAGGACTCATCGACTTGAAGAATGCAGGAGTCAAGTTACAAGGAGGTCTGAAGCTTCATTAGGAGACATGAACCCAAATTCTTAATCACCGTGGAGAATCTTTCCTGTATAAGGATTATTTCCTTTTTTCAAGGAAGCCATTCTCTATAAAGCAACTGACAGAGAGATCTAAGTGGTAGGTTTGCTAGAGATCCCTCTCAAAAGATTTCCTGCCATAGAAATTATACTCGCTCACTTAAAAGCCCAGTTGTTGAACCTCATCCTATTGTTAGTCCCTTTGTGGGTCTGCAGAATCCAAAAGTCCTCAACAGAAGTGAGGGTGATCAATTTAGTTTTAGCTGATTTAGTGTCAAAATGTTAAAAAACTTAAGTTGGGCTAAAACAAACACACTTTATTAGCCCCAGCAAATAAAGATAGACAAAAATCCACAGTGGGAAGACAAGTAGCTCCACATAATGAGATAATAACTGATTTATTTCAATACTTTTGCAAAGGAACTTTAACTGTTGTGGTCATTGTCTTTCGGTTGTATATTGATAAAGAAAATATGCCTGGGAAAAACTACTGTCTTGTGTGATTTTTATTGAGAATTTACCAGAGGCAGCCTTTGGCTCAATGGCTTCTGTATATTTAAAACAAGTGGTGATATAATCGGGGCATTCTTGTAATCCACCAATCTGCTTGTTTTTAATCATGAAGCCATAGACACACTCTTGGAAACGAACCTATGTTCTGAACTTATCAGAAGATGAAATGAATTTATTTCCTGTTGTTGGGTTTCATCCCTGACTGCACAGGTCTCTATCCCTCAATGAGTAGTTAGCCTAGATAGATTAGAATGAGGGATTCCTTCTCCTAAATTCCCTGTGCATGCCTAACTCAAGAAGGGAGGGGGGTTGTTTTGCTCATCCTGCATGCCACTATCTCCTCCCCCTTTGAATACTTAGCAATGTGATTTCTTCAGGGAAGGCACAATTTCCTCTTTAAAGGTATTTTTATTGCTCTGGGCTGGCCATGCGGCCTGTCTCAATTTTCTGGGTTGCTCTTGCCTTTGTTCTTCTAGAGTGAGGAGGCATCTTGCCATTATTCAGGCAAGATGTAGTAGATATGGCTATTTTGTTATTTTTCCTTTTTCCTTTCCTTGGAAGATAGCTCAGTGACCTATGAAGTTGTGGATCTGCAGTTCTATTCCATCCTGTTGAATGGAAACAAATCCTTGCTCTTTACCAACACCTGTCCTGAAAAATGACAACACCTCCATGACATTTTCCAATTCATAAAAAATCACCTTTTGGTAGTATAATGGTTTCCCAAATTTCTTTAGTTCCTGTCTTTACATCTTCTGTTCAAGTGGTATCTGGAGTTTCGGATTGGTACATTCAATAAGATGTACTTTTCCAAGATCCTTTACCTTCGTCTTTTTTTTTATCACTGTGAGTGATAAGGTCAATTCCGTACCCTATAGTCTTAAATACCTTTACCATTTTGCATGCAGTGCATGCTTGAGGTGAAAACACACACATACACACACAGAAGGATGGTAGTCCTGTGCATCCCCACTCAAAACTATTGAAAGAAAGCAAAGGAAAAGAAAAAAAAAGAAAGAAAAAAACCCTAAACATACATGTATATCTGGAGCATACAATATTGCATTGAGTCATCCTGCAGATATGAAGTGTGCACTGAAGGTTTTAATTAAATGGCATTGTAAAGGGAATTATTGTTTCTTTTGTTAGTGTTTTGTGTTCCAAATCTTTTTGTAAACTATTTTGTGAGAGCACTGCATCCTGAAAGGCAGTCAGAAACTCTTAAGAAAGTAGTGATACCCAGCTCCCTACATTTCAACAAAGCAATTAACTCAGATCCACTCTTAGTAATTTGAAAGGCAGAATCCATGAAATGAACAGTGCGTACTGAAATTCTGAAAAAGGCTCACAGGTACAATGACTTTCCAAATATATGATGTGCTTAAGTGCTGAACTTTTATTACTATCCTCCTAGTTTACATAGAAAATTCCAAGATGGTACACTGGTCACATTTTGTCTCAGTACAAATGCTTGCAATGCATCTCGGCAATATTTCTTTTTTCTAGTTCTCATAAATTAAAAAGGAGACAAGAGGCATGGACACAGAGTGGCTGTGTTCAATAGGCATCCATACTCCAAAAAAGTTATTCTGGACTACAGCTGGCTCTTCGAGAATTCAGGCTCCAGCTGTACGTAGCTGCATTACTCATCGGCAATGATGTTTTCAAATCACAGGGAGTGGCAAAAATAACAATTCCATGTGTTCTAGTAGAAATGGCAGAGATTTCAAATTAAAATACTCCTTTCAGGTTTTGATTTGCCAACACCAAACTGTGGTATTTGTATTACCAGGAAAACAGACTCAGATTATATGAACGTTCTAATATATATATATATATATATATATATATATATATATATATATACACACATACATACACACACACACACACACACATACATACACACACACACACACACACACACACACACACACACATACATACATATATTTAAAAAATGCAACCCTTTAATCAGGTAAAAGGCCACTGTGGCTAATTCTGTGTCGTCAGAATCAATACAGCAGTCATTTTCAATTTTCTAGATGTCAAAGTTGGATGGTGATTGTGCCAAGTTAAACACAGTCTTCTTTTCCAAGAATGAACATGCTGGCGGGAGGGAGTACATAGGCCTTATGACTTCAGACCCAGGTCATTTAAGGCGTCAGAGATTTCTGTGTTGACCTGTGCAGAAGTACTAGCTGGTATGATGTTCAGAAAAATGTCATACTGTTGGTCCATTCCAAGGTAACTGTCACTCATAAGATATAATGTGTAAATATACCTGTAAAGGGAAAGAAAGGGATATCAGTTTGTTTCTGTGTAGAAGGCAAAGTTCAACCATTCAAGCTATGATCATTATTCTGCACCATCTTACTTTCCAGGGGTTTCTGGGGTATAAAAAGCAACGGAGACTGCACTGTGACTTCTGACATATCCAACTCGTTTCAGAGCAATAAGTTCTTTCTTGTCAACTTCTCCAAGGATCAAGAACCATCCTTCATCTTTGGTCTTAGGGAAACGAAGTGCAACTGCTTTGCTGTCTTGCTTGCCCTGGATGGAAGGGAAGTACCAGTTAAGACAGGTTAACTCCAAAGGTTGCCTTAGTGGGAGTCTGTTAGTGCAGTGGGTCTCTTCTCTTTATTTCCAGGCTGTGGCGCAGCTAGTTGCATTAAATCATTACTGACCGAGAGGTCATGAGTTCGAAGCCAGCGCAAGTTGGAGTAAGCTCCCGGTCATTAATAGTCTAGCTTGCTGTCAACCTATGTAGCCCGAAAGACAGTTGCATCTGTCAAGTAGGAAATTTAGGTACCGCTTTATGCGGGGAGGCTAATTTAACTAATTTACGATGCCATAAAACAAAACCTTCCAGAAGCATGCAGAGGAGTGAGGAAGTATTCCATCAAAGGACTCCGTGTCACAAATGGACGGTGAAGCGACAACTCCCCCTGTGGCTGGAATTGAGCCCTCATGAAGTGCTCATGAAATGCTGGAAAGTTAAATGCCTTTGTGTCTATCTATATATTTTGTATGTCTAAATGGCATTGAATGTTTGCCATGTATATGTGCATTGCAATTTGCCCCGAGTCCCCTGTGTGGGTGAGAAGCGCAGAATATAAAAACTGTAAATAAATAATTAAATTTCCCCCCTATTAGAGCCTCACATTTATTCTGCAGGCTTCTGCTGATGTGGTCTAACTAAGTGTGGTCTAACTGCCTTGGTTAGAACACACCTGGAATATTGTGTCCAATTCTGGGCACCACAATTGAAGAGAGATGTTGACAAGCTGCGATGTGTCCAGAGGAGGGCAACTAAAATGATAAAGGGTCTGGAGAACAAGCCCTATGAGGAGCGGCTTAAAGAGCTGGGCATGTTTGCCGTTTATATGTTGTGCTCCCCCCTGAGTCCCCTTTGGGGTGAGAAAGGCGGAATATAAATGCTTTAAATAAATAAATAAATAAATAAATAAATAAACAAACAAACAAATAAATAAATGTTTAGCCTGAAGAAGAGAAGGCTGAGAGGAGACATGATAGCCATGTATAAATACATGAGAGGAAGTCATAGGGAGGAGGGAGCAAGCTTGTTTTCTGCTGCTCTGGAGACTAGGATGCAGAACAATGGCTGCAAACTACAAGAAAGGAGATTCCATCTGAATGTTAGGAAGAACTTCCTGACTGTGAGAACTGTTCAGCAGTGGAATTCTCTGCCCCAGAGTGTGGTGGAGGCTCCTTCTTTGGAAGCTTTCAGAGGCTGGATGGCCATATGTCGGGGGTGCTTTGAATGCAAGGGGGTTGGACTGGATGGCCAATGAGGTCTCTTACAACTCCATGATTCTATAATTCTAAGTGGTTGAAATGACAGGGAATTAGTACACAATCTCTTCCAATAAATACAGATGACCTATATAAAAACTGATTCTTTATATATAAATACAAAAAAAGTGGGAACGGTTGGCAGAATCCTGAATCTTCACTGGGTTTACAAAAGCAAGGGTTCAGAACATATCAATTACTATCTATCTCTGTGTGACTTTTCAAACATAGGAAAATCAGCTGATTTAGTCATGCTGTGATGAATGATGTAGATAAGAGTAATACCGCAACAGGGATTGATGGGAGGAACTTAAAAATCACAATAGTGAAGATTTTACCTTAACATAACCAACATGCAGTCTTCGCAGATTTATCTGGAGCATGTATTCTTGATCTGCATGCAACTTCATCCACTTTTTGTCATCCCGCATGCTTGTTGCCAGCATTGACACTGGTAACTCTTTCTGTTCCTGAACTGCATCATTCCAACAACCTTTAATAACCAGACTGACTTCTATTACTGGTAAGCGGGACAAGAAATGCCAAGCCTTCATAAAAAAACAAAAACAAAAAATTACTTTGAAATAACTTTCAGCCGCAACCAAAGTTCTATTCTTTAAAAATGGGAGGAATAGAAATCATATTAGTTATTCAATTCATTCTGAAACTTCAGACATTTTAACTTTTTCAAATCAAAGTTTTTAAGTACAGTGATATCTTGACTTATGAGTTTAATTGGTCTGTGACCGAGCTCTTAACTCAAACACTCTTATCTCAAAACAAAAATTGACATTAAAATGCATTGAAATGCTATTGATCTCTTTTGCCCCCAAACCCTCCTTTTTGTTACATTTTTAAAAAGAAAATGTACTTTATAAATAACAAATAATGTATAAATGCAGATTCATGTGAAAGAATAAAAAAGAAAAATAAACTTTAAAGTGGTAGAAGCACAAAGTTGTGGCAAGGCAGAACAAAGCACAAAGTAAAGAGGGAAAAACATCATTTTCTTCATACTGTACTCATTCCAGCCCCCCTTTCTTGCTCTCTCTCCTTTTCTCTCTTCATGAAGCCAAACATACCAGGAATAAACACCACAGAAAATCAGCTAACCCAAAGTTTCAAGCGGACAAGAGCAAACCCTCAAAGTAGACAAGAGTAAAATAGACAGCAATCTCCCAAAGTGGACAAGAGAACGAGACATGAAGGAAGCTCCCTTAAAGCCCTGTACTCTCATGCTAGTGCTCCTTCTCACACTAGCGCTCCCTCTGGAGCTAGAACTTAATGCAAAATGCTGCTCTTATGTCAAAGTGTAATCTGGGCTGAGCGACAGCTCTTAACTCAAAATGCTCTTAGGTTGAGATGCTCTTAAGTAGAGGTTCTACTGTATCTATATATTGTGCTTTCCACCCACCACAACTGTATTGCTATAATGCTTGATAAACAAGATTTTAAGAAATTTTAGGAAATGTGAGTTTCAAAATTAGCATTCCTGCTTCAAGAATAGGATCCAGAGTATTTCTATGTTCTGTGGTTCATTTCCCCTTAGAATATGGAAATCATGGTCACATCCACAGCAGAACTGTGAGAGAAAAAGATAGAGAAATCCCCTCTTCAATTCTGGTGAGAAGGTTAACTTGGGCTACTCCTTTTATTACATTCCACAGGTGACTCTAATCTACGAGTATCAGATATACGAAATGCACCTATCCTACCCAACACTAAACTTTGCCCCTGAGAATAACACACATCCAACCAGTATTGGAAGATGTTACCGTATGTTGATTAAAAATATTATTCTAGTAAATTATCAAATAAAAGTTACCCAATTAAATTGTTTTCATAGATCAGTTAATGGAGCTTGAATCTGCATAATTTGGACATGGCTAAAATAATATTTTTGAGGAAAAAGTATTTATTGTATGATGTATCTTTGAGTTCCTCAGAGAGTCTTCTGCCCTGCGTTATGGCACTTTTGGAGGGCCACAGAGAAATGAATCTTAATTTGGAAAATAAGTACTTTGCGGGTTAGCATGCAATAGTTAGCTGCCATTGCCTACTGAAAAGATAGCAGTGGGACTCTGATAGTCCCACTGCACAAAGCAGGGGTGCAAGTTGATAACTGACATTTAAAATCTCTTGAACTAAACTTGTTCCAACCTTTAATCTGCCCCTTGTCTTTCCTTAGTGCTTTCTTATCATACAACATGTCTTAATAGGCTTACTTGGGTGTTTGTGATGTCTGTGTCCAGTCTTTGAAGGGACAATATTCATACTCTTTAATGTTTTGTAACCTCGCCATCTACGATCTTGTCACAATCTTGTATTCTGAATATATCCCAAAATTCTGGACATCACTTTGTGGATTTTTGAAATAGGCTATAGTCCATGTAAGCTCATGCTACAGTGAATTTGTTTATTTTTTAAAGGTTTTAACTATACAAGCGTTTCTCAACCTGGGGGTTGGGACCTCTGGGAGGATGTCAGAGGGGTCACCAATGATCATCAGAAAACACAGTATTTTCTGTGGGTTGTGGGGGTTCTGTGTGGGAAGTTTGGCCCAATTCTATCATTGGTGGGGTTCAGAACGCTCGTTGATTGTAGGTGAATTATAAATCCCAGCAATTATAACTCCCAAATGTCCTGGTTTATTTTCCCCAAACTCCACCAGTGTTCACATTTGGGAATATTGAGAATCCATGCCAGGTTTGGTTCAGAGCCATCACTGTTCAAGTCCACAGTGCTCTCTGGATAAAGGTGAACTACAACTCCCCAACTCAAGGTCAATGCCCACCAAACTATTTCAATATTTTCTGTTGGTTATGGGAGTTCTATGTGCCAAGATTGGTTCTCTTCCATCATTGCTGGAGTTCAGAATGCTCTTTGATGGTAGGTTAACTATAAATTCCCCCAAATGACAAAATCAATCCCCCCTCCCAACCCCACCAGTATTCAAATTTGGGCATATATGGTATTTGTGCCAAATTTGGTCCAGTGAATGGAAATACATCCTGCATATCAGATATTTACATGATAAATCTTAATGATAGCAAAATTACCGTTATGAAGTAGCAACGAAAATAATGTTATGGTTGGGGGTCACCACCACACGAGGAACTGTATGAAGTGGTCACAGCATTAGGAAGGCTGAGAAACACTGCACTATAGGATGCTTTGTTATGGTCAAGAGAGTGTATCATTTCTAAATTATTCTTCCAGTGAATTCTGAACTCTTCCTCGAGTGTGGCTCTCAATACACAGAGATGGGGTTTCATTACATTTCTATAAGATTCAATGGGTCTGTTTGCTTTAATATAATGCTAGAGTTGTTACCATAAATATTTCATTTTCTAGCCTCTTATTTGACTACTTCTACACAAATAAAACAAACATGGAACCCCTCAAGGGTACTACACATGCTTTACAAAGATTATTTTATGTCCAAATTAGAAAAAATAGCCTTACCCATACTGATTAAAGTATTCTTCTATAAGCCACTGAAAACTACTTATAATTACATTCTGAATTAAATCTTCCCAACATAATCCATAATGAGTGAGTCACTGAAGTGCTAATTAGTGACAAGGCCAACCACAGAGAGTTCAGAGAATCAGTTCAGATAATTAGCCAAAAGTTCAAATTCTTATGTAAAGTTACGTACACTCTGAAGTTTTTTTTTTTTAAACAGGAACAAAGTGGCAGGAATCTTAAATGTTATTTAAAAAGTCAGTAATTATCTTGTCTTCGGTTCTGCTTCGCAATCTTCAGGAGTTCCTTGAGATTAGTTTTCTCAACAGTTTTTAAAAAGTTCTCAATCAATTGGAACTATATTTTTAAATTAACCCAGGCTGAAACTTAGCAACTTAGCAACTTTGGAGTGCCTCTTCAAGAACAACAAAAAAGATTCTGTCAAAATACTTGCTTTTGTCCCTTATCTGCTCACTCCTATTTTTCTGGGATGAGATGACCATGTAGGTGAGAAGCCAAGGCACTTAAGGGTGGAATTCTGACCAAGACTCTTTTATAGCCCTCACTCCAGACGGGAAAGGGCAAAAGAGTGTTTTTGATTCAGTGCCCAAAGTGCAAAGAACTCTTGTCCAAATGTTTAACCAGCATACACCAGCAACAATACAGGTACTTTTTATTCCTTCACATACTCCAGAATGTTGCAGTCTGTAGTTGTCATCATTTATTACTACTCATTACTAATTATATTCTATCTGAATTTTGAAATGTTAGTTTGATCTCTAGGAGTATCATTTATATCTCCATATGACCTAAAATATTTGAAGAAGCAGTCCTGTTCACATGCTACCTTCAGTGTGACTGGCAACTTCAGTTTTAGATTGGAAATGGACCTTTTATGGGCCTTATTTCACTTTTGAAATGAGTCTCATCTTAAAAGATGCTAAATCCTATCCTCAGTCATTGCTGGCGCTGGCAAACCACCACACAGGTACAGAAAATATATTGTGGTATGATACCTAGAAATCAACAGTTTAAGACCTAAGGCCTCATGATAGCTTTCTAAGGAAAGATTGGATAAATATTTTAAAAGATCAGCTAAGTCCTGTCTTAAGTCTGGGTATAGATCCTAATGTTCAGTGATTATATGAAAACTTCTTAGTTGATTTTCAGACATTGATTTAATCATTACAATTTACCAAGGCATGAGTACCTTCCATACTAGAACATATAGGCTATATATACACACACATATGTCCAGTGCACTTTTGAGAGACATTTTCAATTAGCACTTGACCATCCATATTCCTTTGTCAAGCTTTATTTCTAATTTGTGACAAACATCATTAATGGTCTCTCTTCAAGAATTAAAGGAGAAGCCAAATCAGCATGTAAAAAGTCAACCTTTTCTTTTCTTTATCTAATTGTGTGTGTGTGTGTCTGTATGTGTGTGTATGGTGGGGGGGGGGGGAAGCCCTGCCCCTATGAAGGTTATATAAACCCTAGGGTGTCTGATATTTGATGCCAGGGTTGTGATAGATTTTAGTCAGCTGAAAGCTCTCAAAGGCTAGAGGCTTTATAAAAGTTGTCCTATATTTATTTATTAGGACATTTCTATATCACTTTTCTTTGAGGACCCAAGGCTGTTTACAACAGCAGCTAAATAGGCAATATACAATTTAACCAATTAAAATAATCCCATATGTTCAGTTGAACATAAAAAGTCCTTCAAACTTTTCAGTGGGAAAAATGATTTCTCTTCGAACTGTAGTCAACGTAAAAGTTAATTTGCACCATTTTTATAAAAGCAAAGAACAATGACTTTGCACCTTCCCTTATAAGTGTCCAATAGGATTGTATTAATCCAGTTGAGGTCTGTTCAAACAACATAATTATAGTGCTATTATTCCACTTTAACAATCATGGCAATGTCCTGTGGAATCCTGAGATTTGTGGGTGTGTTTTTGCATCTGGATGAGAATTATCCTTGCACTGTCAATTCCAGGTTCCAAAGAATGCAACCATGGAAGTTAAAGTGGAATAATGCCACTGTAATTCTGTAGTCTGAATGGACCCTCGAGCTATGGGCAATAAAGATATTAGAGAGAATGGGACGTGTGTCAGGTTTTTCTTTTTACATTAGTCTATCCAACCTATAAAAGCCTCTGGTTCACTCAACACCTTATCATGTACCCTGCTTGGCAGGGGAAGAGAGAACAATCTGGGAGTTATTAAATCCTTTTGGAATTTTCTGCTTATGGAAACTATGCCCATGGTAAGAATTCATCATGCCTATTGAGAACAGGTTAATATTCACTGGCGAGTCATATTTTTCTTTGGATTTCTACCTAATTAGTTTAATGGTAGGTTTAGAAAGAATTGGATGAAAAATTAAGCCCAATTAATCTCAAAAACATATTTCTGCGATAGTTTCTTTTCCAAAATTATGTGGCAGTCATACACGTGCGGCAAAGAAACAACAATAAAATTAGGAGCAACATACATTCATGGGTTTCCTTTGCAGAAGTAGCATGTCCATTTCAAACTTATCTGAGAGTTTTCCCCCTGTATTTTAATGTATTTTATTGACACTTACATGCATCTTGGTGGCTTGTGTAGGTATAGTTTATGTTATTGACGCATTAAAACAGACACAAGAAAGGTAGGACTCACAACATACACAAAAGCTATTTTTGAAGAAACTGCTAAGACATTTCAATACCAGCCAAACATATTTATCTGAGGATTAATCTTCATCTATTGAATCAGACACGAACACTACCATGCATACAATTATTTAATTAGCAGCCAAATCCTCTGCCAGTCAGCCGCTGTTCCAGGCATACTGATGGGGAAGTAGATGCAAATCTCACAGTAGTACTGCTTTTTCTCATTACTACTGCAATTAGCACTTAAATTGATGCTTTAAACATACTAATTTCTAGAATAATTCAGGATTTGTATGTTACCTGAGATCGTCTCACTGCAGAGACGACACCAGATTGCTACGCAAATTGAAGCACTTTTGAGCCAAATAACCATCATCGTATCAGACGGAGCCAATTTGCATTTGCTTTTAAAGATAACAGAGCGGCAATTTATGCAAATAAATTAAGTTAGTTTACTTCTGAGTTTTCCCTGAACTAATTATAACAATGTTCTAATTTTTCAACATATCCACAACTTGGACTGAAGTCTACATGTGCAATGTTTGAAATCTGCTGTTAAAAAGCATTTATTTCAGTTTAAATGCATTTTCACCCAAAATCTGATACTATTTTATGAATAAATATAGATGTCAGTTATGTGTATTTAAATAGTTACCTTCCACTTGAAAGGCAAATTTTAAATCCTGCAAGTTAGAGACAAGAATGCACAGGCAATAATTACACTATCTTTCATTAAGGTGCCAAGAATGGGAGAACTTGACAATAGCTATTTGTGTTTTTTGTCAACACAAGCATAACATTTTACTTGCCATCACTGAATACAGAAAATGGTTCAATGTATGACGATGACACACTTCTAGTGTATAGTGATGACCAAGGAACAAAATGAGGTCATCTGAGCTCATGGATGAAGTTAAAAGTTCTAATGGAAGTTGTGGTATGGGTATTTGGAGGGGGGGGGGGGAGAAGAGAAAAAAAAGAATGAACAGAATTAAACTATATTAGATGAATGAGTGGATAATATAGAATGGACGAAGAGTGAGAAATAGGAAGAGGGCAAAGAAATGGGGTTATAGATCAATGATGTGTTTGGATTAAATCTACTCATGTAACAAAATATAATACTAATAAAATATTTTTAAAAACCAAGGAACAAAATGAATTGAATCTCCCACTCTACATGTGAAGTTCTTGCTCTATAATATGGAAACACGAAGTCTGTTATGAGTAGAAAACCTATGGTGAGTAATGGATCTGGATGAAAAACACCTTATTTTTCAAACAGCATTCCTTCTTTTCCAGTAAATATAAATAAAGATATAAACCTTGACTTTGTGTCTGTACCACTTGTTATGGCCAAGAAACATGAAAAGAAAAAGGAAGGGCTTTTTCAGTGGTGACTCCCAGATTCTGGAACTAATTTCAATGGGAGGCTAGGCTAGTCATGTTGTTATCTTTCCATCAATAAGCAAATAAGCTATTCCTTTTGCTATTACTTTGGCAAATAATCTTACTTGCTGTGACAAATGGGTGTTGTTTTTTTACTGGCCTGATTCAAAACTGTGTTGAACCATACACTTGGGACTTCTTAAAGCAAGTCTCTGTCACGTAGTTGTATACCTGGTATGGCTGCTATATGATACAGCAAGTAGGTTTCCAAAGAAATTTCTTAGAGGTTCCAGCATGTGGAAATTATGGTGTACAGACATGATTCATAGGCATTGTGGCATGACAAGCTAATCAACTCAAAAGATCATGTTGGGTGTGAACTTGATATCCAAACCAATTATGTACACCTTTGGGAAATACATTTTGTCACTAAATTTCCCAGAGGCTAGAGCCATTCAAAATTGGAATACGCAGCAATGGAGGGTAGTAGAGTTTTCAAACAGAGGCTGGATAGACATCTGTCTAGAGGGTTTGGATTGTGTTTTCCTGCATAGTAAAATGGGTTTGGACTAGGTTGGCCTTGGCATGTCTCTTCCAACTCTAGAGCCTCACAATTATGTGAGGGTGATGAGAAGTAGTTTGAATTTTCCTCCTACCAGCTGCTGAAATATTTGTTAGGATGGTCAATACATCATCATCACCATTATTTCATTTCTATTATTTCTATTGCTACTGCTGCTATCATCATAATCACTATCACACTTTTTATTACCTGTAAATCCTGCATGTTGTAGTATAAAATAATATATAGTATATCCCCCACTTCCTCGATAGATACCTGAAACCATAGATAATAGCAAGACCTATATTTTGATGATACATGGGCCAAAATTTTGACGATACATGGGCTGGATGGCCATCTGTCAGAGGTGATTTGAATGCAATATTCCTGCTTCTTGGCAGGGGGGGGGGGGTTGGACTGGATGGCCCATGAGGTCTCTTCCAACTCTTTGATTCTATGATTCTATGAAAATATGGAGGACCTAGAGAGGCCCACAACTACTACATATGTGGAATAGTTTTTGGAGTGTAAGTAAACTGTGAATATTGAGTCCATGGGTAAGGGGGTTGTATTGTAAATTGAGTATGTTCAACAGTACACTGACTACAAGACAGAAAAAATGTTACCTGTGTAATATGGGTAGTATGCAAATCATGATCTACCATGGAGGTAAATATATGTTCTTTTCCATCGCATGCAGCTATCACTTCAGGAAGACATTCAATAGGTCCCTGATAACTGCCTTTTTGCTTTCCTTGGTTCCATTTCCTGGGAAACAGTAAACATATACAAAGTTGAGATGTGAAACTAAGGAAATCAGGTAGAAAAAATGAAAAGAAGAATATGAGAAAATGGGAAGACACACTTAAGAAGAATGGAAACCCCACGTTAAGTGGAATTTTAACACTCTTGGCAGTTTACTTCATCAGCTTCTTAGTTTAACAAAATTAAAATGGAAGATTATATTAAAGTCATAATATTGCAAGCTCCACAATTTAAAGCCCCCCTCCTCCCAAAACACACTGGGGAACTGTGAAAGTACTTTGCTTGGGTCAAAGATCATCAGGCAGTTGCTTCCTTGCTTTAAACTGGTTTAATAATAAGGAAAAAGATCTTTACCATGTAGATTAATGTTATTGATTTAAGTTTGCAATTTAAAAATTAACAGGATGGCAATCTCCTTCATACACGCTTCTGAATTCACAACTAAAAAGACTGTGGTAGTCTCTTTAGTCTAATTAGCATTCTGATCTGAAAAACACTTATGTGCATATATAATAAACAAATTATTTGGAAATAAGAAAACAGGAAAGGGCCTGTCTGATCAGATCAAAGGCTCCTCTGGCCCAGTGACATCCTCCGGACATCTAGAGCATATGAACACAAACAAAAAAAGAAAAAGAAAAAGAGAAAAAGCACCTTCGAGCAACTAGTACTGAGCAGCATAGAGTCTTCAGTCCTTAGGTAGCAGCCAATCAAACCTTCATTTTTTGTCTCGTCACACAGTAAAGCCATTCAAATTGGTAACTATTATGTCATCTTGTGGTAGTAAGTAGACTATGTGACAGTCCATGATAATGAATTTACCTATGTGCTTTGAAAATAAGTAGTTCTTCCTTTTGTGTCTTGAATCTTCTACCGTTCAGGTAGAGTGATCATTGGTATTATACAGAAGAAAGATAATCCTCCCTCTGACCACTTTCTTCAGGCCATGCACAACAATGGCCTCTCATACCTTCCAGTTTTCTCCATGGGTAGAATGCTCCAGGAATTACAAGATTTCCTTATAGGGAAGGTTAATCCCTTTTCCTAGTCACTTCACCCAATTTTCCAAGTATAACTGTACTAAAGATTGGTATAAAAACATTTTTATTATGACATTCTTTTCCTAATGATCTCCTGCAAGTAATTTGCTTTTTTCACAGCATGTCTTGGACTTTTTCTTGAGCTGTTTCACAACAAATTACTAATATTTTCTATCATTATATCTTTTAAAAGGTTAAGGAATTTAGAAATCAGAAATATATTGACATCTGTATCGTCAAAGGCTTTCATGGTTGAAAATCACTGGGTTGCTGTAAATTTTTCTGGTTATATGGCCATGTTACAGAACATAGCCATACAGCCCGAAAAACCCATACTGACATCTCACCATGTAACAATATATACCAGCCTGAGAATATAGAGATATATTTATATGAGGAACAGACAGTGTAATTTGGGATGACCATGTGTAATCTGTTACAAAAGGAACTGTATAGAAGGGAATCTTGAAACCAATGCCTTCAAATGTGTGTGAGGTCATCCTAATTTATAAATGACATTGTATACCTGTGTGTGTGTGTGTGTGCGCGCGCGCGAAGGCAAAGGATATACACATTCTCCCACTGTGTTTGCTAACTTGTGTAAACCAGGCTTTTTTATTTGAAATTTCTTATTTGGTACTAGGCATGAATCCATAGCAATAGCTACAATGTTTGGACCTATATAATTCTGGATTCTTTTTAGGCATGGAGAACCCTTGACACAGGGATTCATAGCAAATGAGGTTACAGATCTCACTATCAAGCTTCTTTCAGTCCCCATTGGTTCTCCTTTGAGCGTTCTGCAACTGCATTGAGTACCACCATTCCAAACACAATAGAGATGCCTACCTGAAAAGGTGAAGATGCTGGTATTCTATGTTGGGTATGGTGAGCAATGAGGAGTCATGGATCCATCGCCCCTGAATTAGCATCTGTAACAAACTGGTTATATTGAGGGCAGTCACCAACCAGCCTTCATTTGCAGCAACATCCAACATTGCCTACATAAAAATGAAAACAAAGACACCCAAACATTTAAATTTCTCATGAGAACACAAACTAATTTTTCTTTCATGTTTTGTACTATTTTAGGAGCATTTAGTAATATAAACACAAATGTCTATCCAGCTTAACCAATGTTTTTCCTTGGTCTAGTACTAAAATTGCCACTGTCTCATATTTGATCTTAATTTGTTTTAAGAAGTTCAGATTTGAATGAGCGGTTGTTTCCTAAGACAGTATTTCAATGAGATATCACCAATGAATACAACAGTGCTGTAGGCTATGTTTCAGAGGAAGGAACTGGCAGGATCGCTTCTAAGTATTCCTTGCCTAAAAAGACCCTATTAAATTTATGGGGTCATAGGTGATTTGAAGGCACATACAAACACACAAATGTGCAAAATAGAAGAAAGGAGAAGTGTAAGAGGCCAAGCATGTTGTGGCAAAATCTGATAATCTAATATTATTATGTGTGATTGTCTAAATCAGGCCACAGAGGATGTTAATCAGTATCCAGGGAATATTTGCTTCGTTTTTTTGGCTTTGCTGATTTTTAGAACAAGCATTATATAGGTAGGGAATCCCTTATCTGGAATTGTCCACACGAGGGGCCAGATAGTGACACCTTTGCTTTCTGATGGTTTAATGTATACAAACTTTCATGCATAAAATTATTACAAATATTGTATACCAGGGGTTCTCAAACTAAGGCCCGGGGGCCGGATACAGCCCTCCAAGGTCATTTACCCAGCCTCGCTCAGGGTCAACCTGAGTCTGAAAGCACACAACAACAACAATAATCCTATCTCATCAGCCAAAAGCAGGCCCACACTTCCCATTGAAATACTAGTAAGTTTATATTTGTTAAAATTGTTCTTCATTTTAATTATTGTATAAGTGTTTTTTGCACTACAAATAAGACATGTGCAGTGCGCATAGGAATTCATTCATGTGTTTTTCAAATTATAATCCGGTCCTCCAACAGTTTTAGGGGCTGGCCCTCTGTTTAAAAAGTTCATGGACCCTTGTTGTATACAATTACTCTCAAGCTATGTGTATAAGATGTATATGAAACAAAAATGAATTTTGTTTTAAGACTTTAGGTCCCATTTCCAAGATATCTCATGATATACATGTATGCAAATGCAAGTATTAAAAAATCCCCAAAACATAAACCAGCATGAAATCCCAAACACTTCTGATCCCCAGAATTTTGGATAATCATACCAACAGTATTAACTCTGGCTGCCTCTTTTATATCCATCCATGATTGTACTTTTCAGTATTTTGACATTTAAATAGCCAAAATGGGATATATTTACATAAACTAACCAGACAAGGCAAAATGTATTTCTCTCCCCCTCTTTTACTCACTCACTTATACACAGGTACACAGACACATTTATACAATACAGATAGGATTGTGAAAATTGTTACACACAATTTTCAACAGAAATGCCACCAGGATGATTCTGCCACAGGAAATGAACATGTTGCCAGTTTCATCCACATGCTATTTCTCTGAAATGACACTGTAGGAGGGTGAAAGTGCTCAAACTGCTGTCAAAAATATTTGAAGTAGCTCAAGGCATTTGTAGAATTTTTAGTACAGTCTCAAGGGCCAGCTAGTGACATTTCTTTTTTTAATTGAAAGGAGTTAATGTTCTCATACCTCTTGGCTATAGGGAAAAAGCATTTAAATAAATTGTCTAGTATGAAGCGATACATTTTCCAAATTTGGCTTATGCCCAAGACTCATCCCATGAAAGTAAGTGAAATGATAGGAACCCAATTTGGAGCCCATTTGGATAATTAAGGAGGGTATCCAATTTTGGACTTTTGGAAAAACCTAATTTGAACGGGTAGTTTTTATGCTGAAAAATAACAAAGACATAGGGACAAAGACCTCTTATGAGATCAACTGGAATGAATCTTTTGCACATCCCTGAGACCCAATTGATGAGAACACGCTGCAGGGTATTCTCAGTTGTGTTTCCCAAGCTTTGAAATATCTTGCCCTGGGAAATGTTTAGCCCATGCTCTCTTTTTACAACTATGTTTCTATTCCACCAAGCCTCTGATATGTAAGATATTTTATTTGTAGCTTCTGAGTTTCCTTGCTAGCTTGCTGGCCTATATTACTCAATTTTTCCTGTTTTTGAGAAAGACTGTGTATAGTTCAATTCAAATGTTCAAGCAGGTATTAAAATAAACACACAAGGCTAAGTATCCTCCATCACTGATTTCCATGTGTGTGGATGACAGCTTAAGGAGGAGAGCTTCTGATGATTTTCTTCAGGACACAGATAGTCTCCATGCACAGTAGAGGCTCTTTGTTTTGGACTGTTGCTCTCTATGTGAGCAGTTCAATAAGAGGAAGATGGTGGAAGAACCAGCATGCTCATGGAGTGTGGCTTTTAACCTTTTTTGAATGTGCAATTAGGGCTTCTTCTATTCCAAAGATTTATTTATGATTTTATTGTCATTATAGAATATCAGCAACATTAATAGTGCTTTACAGAGTAAAACTGGGCAGGTCCCTGCTCTGAGCAGTCAAAATGTAAAATTAAACACAGAATGAAAACAACAGAAGAGGGAAAGTGGAAGTAGGTACAGGCAAACAGGGAGGGCACATGCATCTGTTTCAGCTATGTGTGCTTAGGCCTGTATTGATTTTTTTTACATTATGTGTACTTTATGCTAATGCAGAAAATCATTAGCATAAAGTACTGTTTAAATATATCACATGTATGTTGATGTGAATTATTTCACGAAGGCAAAGTAAAACTACTGTATCTGTGGGGTGTGCTCCCAGAAGGATCATGGCTACCAGATATGATTGTCATTGAATTAGCTTACTTCAACATAGCATAAAATTGTGATGGAGGACCTAGATATTTAAAGATAAGTATCCTCTCTAGGAATTTGCTTTTTCTGCCCATGTAACTCTATGATAATTTTCTGGAGAAGTCAATTATTTCCCACCAGGTATAGGAAAGTGAAACCACAGAGGGATCTCACTGTATATTACTATGCTTTATGTTGCCCATAACCTGTGCGCTACCTCTTGCCCTATTAAACCATTAAAACTTATGTTTGACATTAGCAATAAGGATATACATTTCTCACTTTTGTGTTCTCAAACATTATTCTTTCCATTTTGTTTCTGAAAAAATGTAAAAGTATAAGTTCTTATCAAACTGAATAATATTCTCTCATTCCTACACCTCTTAGAATCCAGGTAAATCATATAAATAAATACGCAAGGAGTTGTCCCTCCCCTCCCACACAAACTGTATTGAAGGAGTTGTAAAATGCTATAATAGAAAGGGCATTGCCATTAAAATACCTGGGATGCTATTCAGACTTAGAGAGTACTGAGAGAAGCTTGAGCATATGTTGCAACCAGAAGTTTTCATTTCCAACAGCAAAATAACTCTAGTGGTTTGATTTTCCTTTTCCCCCTCCTTCTTCATGGAGTATCTAGTCTGCATTTTGATGCTAGAAATGTATACTTCAGACTTGTTTTACAGCCCACTAGAGGAATGCTAAGCTGTCTATATTAGCCTGCACATTTAATCAAATGTTTTACAGACAAACAAAAGGCAGCATTTACTTAAGGCAAACTAAACAGTGGAATCTTCCTTAAACAAAGGAGTTGTTTACACATGCAGCGCCATTTCAATTAAATTACACTGATCTGGGAGAAACGTTGAGTTTAAAAAGGTACACAGAGCTGGTTTCTACTCTGTGTGTGTGTGGGAAGGCAGCTTTAAAAAGGTAGTGCATGCTTTTATTCCAACAGCTTTTTGTTTCTGATCAAGGTAAAAGAACAACAGCACACAATATTGCTATTGAAAATGATTTCAAAATGTTCTCTGAGGATGGATGTGATCCACATCTCATAGGAAAAAATTGGGAGGGACCCCAGCCCTTCAAAACACTGCTAAGTCCACCACAAATATTAGAGGTGTTTTTAAAAATGGATATTTTTGAATGAGAATGATTCCCAGTTTCTGTCCCACTCCACATGTATACCACTTTCAGCCTTGCTGAGTTCTCATCCCCAGGATAAGAACAATTTCTGAATACTGAAGGTTGCAGGTGGTAAAAAACCATCTTCAAAGGCTGAAGAGACCTCTCTCTTTTAGAGGTGGAGAGTAGATCATATCTTCTCTCTAAAGTATCTCTACTGCTAGGCACACATCTTTAAACTAAACTTGACTACAGAGCTTTCACCAAACTGCCACCCCGTTGTATTGGGACTATATCAGCCTCAGCCACTGATTAGGCTGCCAATGGATGACTGGAGTTGTAATCAAACACATCAAGAAGGAATGGTTGCCTGGAGATGACTTCCCAAGTTCCTATACTCCATATTAAACATCCAATGACTTTGGTTCACATGCTGACATGTTGTTTCCTTTTCTATTTACTACAAGGTAAATGTGAGATGTACATTGTGCCAAGCCAGCAGTTCAAGGTCTGCCTAAAATGTTCAGGTAGAAAGCGAAAAATAAAACTTATTTTTCCAGGAACACATTCTGTTGTGCAGTTATGAGACCAATTTGTTATGTAAACACAAGCAAATTGTTATGAAAACATATGCTTTGCTTAAGTGTTATGGAGTCTTAAATTCTGATTGAGATTGTTTATTAAATGCCTATATTATTTTCCTCTTATGCCTAGTATGTGAAGAGGGGAGAGCTGGATAACAACATATCCTATTGCCACTGCTTCTTGCATTCATTGTTGTGGTCACTGAAGCAGATTTAGTGACAAGCGCAGAGACCTGAGCGAGCAAATCTGAAATCTGCCAGCTACTGAAGTCTGTCATAGAATCTTCTGCCACACACAGAGCTTTGCAAAAAGTGACAGCGGTTTATTCATATCCAATATGGAATAACAAAAGCTTGAGCATGTGTTGCAACAAGGCATCTAAAAGCCAGCAAAGCAAATCCTCTCCCGCCACCCCTCTTATTTTGTGCTCTCTCAGCCA